GGCGGTTAACGTTGATGGACTTTTGCTGGCCTTGGGACGAGAGATCGTCGACCGAGCGCAAACGAGCTGCTTGATATCCTTGAAGAGGAGCCCGAGATCGAGAAAAGAATCTCTTTTTTACCTTTACGACGCAACGAAGTCGTAAATGTGTCATTTAAATACTTCTTTTAATACTTTATCGCCGATTTTCTTTTTTCATATTTTTTTCATCTTTATCGTTTATTTACCAACAGTATGTATTGACAATTATAGTTTAATTAATGTACTTTTTAATTTAGTTTTTATTCGATTCCTTAGTTTAATTAAATTCTAGTTTTTTTAAGGGGGAAATGGCGCAAGAGAATGAAATAATCGACACGTACTTTACGGTTTCAACAGGTTTTTATCTTTCAGTCTCTTTTTAACATTGAAAGAAGAAACAAACGTCGCGTGCATAAATTACAAAAGGTTCGAAGGAAGCATGGTTTTGATATGGAAATCGTAACAGAAAGCGACTACTGGCAAACTGTACATAGCCTCGCCGAATGTAGTTTCACAGAGAACAAATATGATTCCTAATACTGACTCGTATTCACACACGTTTCAGACGATAGACCACACGCAATAGAACGCTAGTTATTCGAACATTACTGTCTCCTAACAATATAAATGAGTAGTTTCATTCAATGCTCCTATTCAAGTTTGAATTCTTTATATCGGTCCTTCTATCTGCTTGTAAAAACACGAATTTGCATGAGCGTTCGCTCTGAAAATTATTTCCAAGCTTACGAATATTTCTATTAAATTCTCATTGAAAAATCCGACCAACCACCGTTCTATTACACTGTCATCAACATTCACGTTTCGACAATATTCAGCATCCACCTTCACAGACGTACCAAACGCTCCGTTTCCCCCATTCGCGACTTTTCTCGAGCACAGTTCATCATCATCACTCGGCGAAATCCGGAAGTCCGACAACATTCATCCTCGAGCGTCGAGTTCTATTGTCCTTTTCGCAAGAATGGCTTTGTCGCGAGTCTGGAACGGAACATGTCACGAAATAACACGAAACAACGATTCGTCCTCTGGTTATGGCGGAAGAAAGTGGACAGGCGACAAAGCGACGGCCTGGTACAGAATCTTATACAACGATGACTCTCGAACTCGAATGTGTTTTGCTCGATCAATTTTTGCTGGTCCCTTATCGATGATCGGCCAGTCAAAGCTTGTCTTGGAGAGCTTGTCGTAACTCTTCTGTGGCCTTAGCCACGTCCTGCGTCTGCCGCGAGAGCACTTCCGGTCGCACGTGCTGTACCGTGGAATTCGACCGTCTCACCGAGTTCCCGCTACCGAATTTCGGCCGTGGAATTCGTACACGCTGCACGTCGCTCAACCAGGATTCCATGATCTCTTTTTCTTAGTCCCTGTGGCTTTTTTAGATTCTCTGAAACAAATGCAGACAGTTTTTGCTGATCAAGTTGCAATTGTACAGTTTACGTGGTGAACGATTTAGGTCCTTGTTCGTTAGTTATCCGAGTATTAGGACACTTATGAAAAGTTAAGCCATTAAGGATCAGGTAATAGGTAAATTTGTTATAATCTTTCAAATATTTGAATTTTTATTAATTTAATTGAAGGATCTAGGATAACGACAAAAAGAAAGATTTCACTTCTTAGATACGAATTTAAAAAGCAGAATTCGATAATGTAAATTGATCGATAGAAGATTGCAAATTAAACGTTGCGTTAACGCAACGTTGGTCCTTAATGGATTAAGTAAATCCAAAAATCATTAGGAAATTATCAAAACCACAGTGATAAGTACGATTAATAGACACGTGCTCCCTTTTCATTCTTTGCTCATCACAATTAATCATTTTCCATTTCAATTCCTTAATCGTCATAGCATTTGGTATATCGTGAAAGTTTATTTACTCCTTTCGGTTATTTTTTTTTATTTTGATTAGAATGTAAAGGATGTGAATGCATTTAGAGAAATCTATAAATAGTTTATTAACATCACGTGTCTAATTTGGATACTTAGTCAGATTTTCGCGAGGAGAAAGTCTTGGAACATTTAACATCTGTGTCATGTGATTTTTATCTCAAACGAGGGAAATGTACGCTAGTGTATTAACACCGTGCTCCAAAAAAGATCATCCATTAATGATGGAATTTCTTTAGTGAAAGTACCAAGCTAATTGATGTTGCCAGTCATTAAAGTGTTGATATTTACCGAACAGAATTTTCAAAGACTTCGTGATGCTAATGAAAATGTCGTGCTGCTAAATAACCTGATTCGTTTCGACGTCAAATTTGTACGGTGATTTCCTGTGAACCGCGTGAAAATGACTCGTGACATTTTCTGCCGCGGTGGCATCACAGTCCAACGCGATAAAAAGCAAACGAGAACATCGTGGTCATTGCCAGTCGAGGGCAATGGGTCATGCAAGCTACGTGACAAAGAAAAGAAGAATGTCACTGGGCCACGCCGGCTGGACACTCCACCGGCATGATCTGAATCGTAATCAGACACAGAAAACGAAGCATCCTATGCCATTCATTCGTTATTAACTAACTTCGTCAATTTTTTCATAATGATCCACATACGTTCTTCAACCCTATGTCTCTAACTTTTATTATGTTGATTAGAATTTTTCTATCTATCGAAGAATCTCAATTTCACAGTCAAATATATTTTTCTTGAAAGTATCGTGTTAAGAACAGACAGATCGAAAGGAAAATCAAAGGAAGCTACAGAATTTTCACAGAATACGTCTTAATCCAATTTTCTCCTCACAAAGAATAATAGCAAATTAGTGAACAACCAATCATATAATCATCGCAAGAAATTAAACAATTTCGCGAGAAAGATCGATCTTTTATATTTCTCCTGTATTCGTACACTTCCGTGGATGAAATTTAATTTGGTGAAGCGACGAACCTCAAAGAGAGGGTCACACGCAATTAACTATTCCCCGAGATTAAAGCTTGGAAGAAGGAGCGGGTCGCATTCGTGTTCGTGGAACGAACCGATCCACGCGAGTTTTACGATCTTGTTTATCCCGGATCTCTCAAGGATCAGCGGTCGGAGCGAAGGAACGCGAATTATACGTCGATATTATCGTGGCTTTGGGCCACGGGAAGCTCGGGATTTCTAGATCCTGTCGCGGAAATGACAATTTTAATGTAATATTCCCGCGGAATCGGCGCACGATCGTAAAAGTGGATCCTCGAGGGGTGAAACGACAAATGTCGTAACGTCGAGACCGCTATATAACGTTGCAGCATTATTCGGCTTTAAACGTCCGTATTTATATAGCTTAGTGATTTTGTGAGATATCAGTGAATCTTGCGAAATCATTTGTACGTTTTGTAAACGGTAAAAGAAGTTTAAAGTGCCGCCTCGTAAAACTGAAAAACGAATTCTACAAGACACCTGATAAAATGAGGAGAATTTTAATTTCGTTTTTATATCTTTGAATGAGCTCGATTCATTCGATATTTAAAACTGTTTATGCGTGATAAAGTAGCGAAGAATTCAGGATGAAGAATTTAGAGAATAATTATTCTTTTATTGGCAACAGTTCTTGCAATTACCGGACTAGATGTTAATACTACGTTTTCCCTGCATCTTTTGCCCTATAAATTCTAATAATTATAATATAGTAGCATTAAAGATGTACAATTTATGATACTACTTTTGGCCGTTTGCCTCAACTCTCGTTCATACTACTCTGTAAATTAATGGTAATAAAACTACTACGACTTGGAAACCAAAGAACGGAACATTATATGCATAGCAGTGCTCGCAATTCAACGACCCCGAATTTGGCACGCAACAAAATGGACCATAAAACTGGAAGAAGTCTTTCTCTTTAATTTTGTTTTTACATTTCTTAAACTTAATTATACCATCGATTTATTCGGTATTTCAAGTACGACTGAATGGCAATGCAACGAGTTAATAAATATTCACGGTTAATTTGTTCTCCTTCGACTTCAAAACCAAGGGACGAAACGTCGAATGGTGCTTACGGTGCACGCAATTCGACCCTGGATTCGGCTCGAATTTCACGGTGGCAGTTTCGTTAAACGGTGAAAGGAACATTTCGAGGGACGATAGGAAACGATCAAACCGGTTAAAAATATGAATTCCCACACTGGCTGCTCGGATACCGTATAGAATAAACAGTTAGATGTTGTCGACGGGGCAACCTTGCTGAACCGGCCAGAGACGTTACCGAGGTCTCCTGCAACTTTTCGATCATCGAATATCGCAATTTGAGAATATTCCAGTTTTGCAGAATTTTTTAACGAAATTTCATTGGTAACCTACTTAAAAAATTTTTTACTGTTAAGACTTTTTTACTGTTAAAAATTATGTTGGGAACTTATATGTTTTTTAATTTATTCGAGAATGTCCAATATACGGTTATGGTGGGAAGAAAAAATTGTTTGAAATATCAGGAAAGACAAGAATGAGTTCCATCATCGATATTTGATACGCGGAATGATTGTTTTAACTGGTACAATCACCGGTTATAAATCATTACAAACACTTTCTATACACACCACTTTTTGTATGCTCTATCATGCACATTGCGACGGTTGCACAATAATAAAACATCGACGCTGAAAGTAAAAGTTTCTCGAACACATTTGCGGACTTTCTTGTCGCTTTCGAACTCGTGGGTCTACGATTTAACGAACTTCGATGTCATTTCTGAATCATTAACGCACGACGAGACAGCATAGCCAATTACATATTCAGCCTCGAATGAATCAATCCTAGAAATGAAGAACCGCAGAAAGAAACAGGCAATCGACTTAATACTAGATCTACCGACAATTTAAATTATTTTCGTTCTTCTAGCAAAGACCTGATGAAAATTAACAGAGACAATCAGGCTATCTTAATAGAAGTCAATTAATCTTGCTAAACAATACATATACATATTTTTACTAATATTAGCAAAAGCAATAAATCTGCGTCTTGTCATTTTGATGAATCTCTTTCTGACTTTGTAATTTTCAAGTTAAAACACGTTAAATATTGGAAACTTTATAAGAATAAATAGGTACATGTCCAAGTCTCACTAAAAATAACAAATAATAAAGTACTTAAATTATCTAAAGCATCAAAGTTATCAATAATATTTATATACTTATGGACATTACTCTCGTCAAAAGAATATCAGCATACCTGTAGCAATTGCAAGAACAATAAACCTAAAAGCCCGTCACTTAATTAAAATACGTCAAGTATTAGAAACTCCACTCTTGCGACAACCTTTTAAACGCGCAACTGTACAAAGTAATAGAAATCGTTGTGTACACTAAAGAAGAGTGTGAAAACGTGTTGAAAGTAACGAATACCGAGAATTCCAACGTTACTTGGAATATCTTTTTCTTCTCTGCTCGTCCATTTTCCAACATCAACCCACGGAGAAATATGTAGAAATTGCAGAGCGCGACCGGAAACTCGTTTTAATCGCGTTAAAGACGGCGACAGATACGATGTACGTTATCGCGGTCTCCGTTCTCCAACTTCTGCGTGTTTCGTTATTGTTCTAGCGAGCAAGTGCAATCGCGACCTCGTCGATTTCGCAACAATCCGCACTCGAGAGCCGCCGGTTTTTGTTGTCCCGCGTTTCTCCCGCCGTTTTTTCGCGCTCGCGTTACCTTGAGCGACACCGAACGAAACCGTAGAAAAAGATCGAGAGACCGGATCGGTGTTATACCGGCAGATCCGTATTTTTCGATGGTGAGCGCAATTAAATCGAAATTATCAATCCATTTCGTACAAATCTCGGACCATCTATCCAGATATCTGACCCATGCACGCTATTGTTGCATTGTTGCAACGATTATTTCGGATTTTTCTCTCAGCTTTCCAATATATCGTGTAATCCACTAGTTGCAGCGTCGACAAAATTTATCGCAAGTATGATAGTAATGTATGTTCTTACACGTGTAATGTTTTAAAACCTTGCTTGGATATTAATAAAATGAAAGAGATTGAAATGTAACGTGGATACCATTATTTGAGAAATAATAAAGAAATAAAAAGTACATAAAAAAATAGATTTTCTTCAAATTCTTAACTGTTGCTTCTTAACTTTTTGGACAAACTAATATTTTCTTACTCGACAAACTCTTTCTTCTCAGATTTTTAAATTGGACTACGAGCTGGATTAAGAAGGTTCTTCTAAAATGATATTTAAATAATAAATGTATGTGTATAGTGGTACAATATATTATTGTCTAATTTTCACGAAGTAATTTAGTATTATAGTTTGGCGATTCCATAAAATGATAAAGTGTTATTTCCAACTAATAATTCATCACTAATTAATGTAATTGGTATACCTCGTTCAAAATGATCGCATAACGATATGTATAGATATATTATTATTATATATTGATAGAGCTACAACGCTCCATTTGAATTTAACCCATTTTGATTTGGTCAGCAGCTTCGACTGATAATCAAACATTTGCATTCGAAGTTACGATAACAGACTAATGTTTAAATAAGAGAAATGGAAATAAAAGTAATAGACAAACCAGTCGTTGCACGTGCACCTGCACGCGCATAATGCACGCACCTGGAACGATTGCGAGCGGCTTAATGATTTCTCCATGGCTGCGTCGAGATTTCATCAGGCAGACCGTGGTTTCTTAATCGAAGCGCCACAAACCCAGATCGCGTGTTTTTTTTTTTGGCAGTAGAAAGAAGTCATCGATAGGCTTGAAAAAACCAACGAGAACGTTGCTGGCGCCCGTTTAGATAGAGAAATAGTTTCAGATAAGATAATCGATGCATTTTTGCAGTGGATAATCATTCTACTTGATCTTCGACAGCTTTTATCTGATTATTTGTTTAACGATAGTTTAGATAGAGAATGATTTGCAGATAAGATCAAAACAGCATTAAAGTATGTATATCTTCGAACCTAACAGCACGTTGCATTTCTTGTTTTCCTATTTTTAGTCAAAATGAAAAAATTACCGGAAGCGTACTTATTATACTTTTATCCTGTAATCTTGATATTATAATTGTGCTTCTCTGTGGATAATTTGTATACGTTAACGTACAATGTACGTTGTATATTATATGTATAATTATAGTATATAATATATATATCGTATATTATCACATGTATCGTATACTATATACGCTTTTATATATTCGAATGTCCCATAAGTACGTAAAGATCCATTCATCGACCATCATTTTTCTGGTTTAGAAACGGACAGTTTGCCCAGTTTCCACATCCTCGTTCGAGAAATCGAAGAAATCTTTTTCCACTCCGGTGTTCACCAATTAAAACCGTCAGAGCAGAAGGAAAAATCGCGTCGAAAGTAGCCGAGCGATTCTTGCTGCGCAAAAGCGAACACACAACCGCATAGCGTTCCTCGTATGAAAAGAATCAATTTACCATGATCGCTGTGAAAGATGTATTAGCCACGCTAATTAACCATCCTTCGAAATTCTCGATGATCATCGACGCGTGTACGCGTTATGTAATCGATTGGTCGTCGATTCACAAGAACCGGACCGATGATAATGATCGTACCTACACGTTATCTCGTCGATTACGAGGCTTAAACAGATTTTCTTCATTTTTGTACACACATCACTTGCGTTTGGAGTAAAGCTTCGTTTTATTGGTTAGATATATTTCTCACGCGATATTTCCGATTAAGATATTTTTTATTTCCGGGAAAGTTTCGTCGAAGAAGAAAAGGTTGAGAAAATTGTATGAAAGGTGTGAAGATAAGATGTTGAATGTTAATAAATATTTGTATATTAGGCAACTATTCAACTTTTACAGATTCAGATTTACTTTTATTCCTAAAGATTTTTAAACCAATTCAAACCATTACAACAATTGTTGGGCAGAAACTAAAATGTCCCTCTTGCTTTATAAGACCATGTCACGCACATGGTACAAATTATTTTTACCACTCGACAGAAACAGATTGTATTTTGTAACAAGCTTAGACTTCTAGACTGACACAAGTTTAGTTTCCTTTAGACGTCTTTAAGATCTGTGATCACACAAAACTTGTAAATATCTTGTATCAGACATAATGTTCTAACTGTCGATAACTAACAATCACTTGAATAACCAACTAATTAGGAACTGACTAGAAACTTAAACCGAGAGACTATTATCTATTACATTCTACGAATCAAAACTTCCAAAACTCTGAAGAAACTCACCTCAGAATCCCTCAGCCGATTTCTCAAGCTCAGCAAAGCCGTACTTCCTATGTCACGAACCAAATCCCAGAGATCCCGTCGTCTTTAAACTTCCAAACTCGCTCGAAATCGTCACGAATCGAAACTACGTCGTACCTACTCGCGATAGGCGATCGATCGATCGAAGAAAGGTAGAAGCAGCACGCGTCTCGACGGCGTTGCCTCGACTGATTCAAGAACCGAGCGTGAAGTGACGGTACACCAGGCCTGGGTTTACGTTTACCTGATTGTCCGCAGGCAACGATGAACGAAGAGGAAAAGATTTTTCGTGCAGGCGAAACAGAGACAATCATAGGTGTTCGTACGGTGGGGACGTTGGACAGGTAACAGGTGAGAGAGGGGAAGGTAGAAGAATGGGTTTTACAACGTTGCCAGGTTGTCTGGCCAGGCTTCGAATACGGGTTACGTGTACGACGATGTGTGGAAGCGTCGATCTCGTCGGAGGAAGCACGAGGATGATGATAACACAGGAGCGGCGGCAAACAAAGGGGATGATGAGGTGGATGACTGCCACACCGCACGTTCATCGCGCATTTCGTTTAAAAACGGCTGCGTGGTGGCAAGAAAATTATAATTTTCGCGGTTTTATGTTACGTGTTTAGTTTTCGGTTCCTTACAGTTTCTGAATGTTTCTGAGGATTCTGAGATTTCTTAATTAGCATGTATTATATACATTGTATCTGTAAACATCGTTCAATACAATTGTTATGATTGACGTAAATATTATTATATGTTCCTACGATAAATAATTAGTAACCTACTGATGTTTATGCAAATCCAAATTTTTACGAGCAATGCTAGAGGAAAGGAAGCCCATCGAAGATTTGCTTCTTCCACTAAATGCATTATATGTATTACATATAACAATTAGTGCATTTCGGATTTTCTATATCTGTATATTATGTGCATTCCTATATCTTTTAATTTTCAATAAATTCATAAATATCTATAGTGCGATAATCAGTAAAAAATACCAAAGAAAGATAGAGTCAGTCTTTTATCTGAAGAAGAGTTTCGATGATCGCGATAGTAAGGAATCAGACAACTAATCATGTTATATCATGAAATACACTTGCTCGGATCTCTGGCAAAACGGTTTCGAAGGATCGAAAATTAGAATCGTTAATTAGAGTACAGGATACCGCGAATAAACACGAGTTTCAAATCGTCCTGTCTATTCTAACGATTCACCAAATTAGTCTTCTGTAGAAGGCTCCTTAATTGCCACTCAAAATCCGTAGAGAGCCATTAGAGCGGCTCTTCTCGCTATAAAAATTCGCTAATTAGGACAGGGCCAAGCGAAACGGTCTCTACCGCGAATCCTCTCCTCAATTAGCAAACAAACACTATGGAAAGAAATCCTAAGCCGTTTCTCCATCCTTCCGCGATAAACCTTTCTATGAATTCGGCCAAGCAAAACGACAACAATCCCAAAAATGAGTTCGTAGATAATTATAATAATACCGCTTTTTGCAGGAGGAAAAGTTCTTTACAATATTGCAATATCAGAGTTCTACTACATGCGTTCTTATCCTAGAAAAACCACTTCACGTATTATTCTATGAAACTTCGAGTCTCAGGGATTCCAATATTCCTTTCTCCAAATTTTTATCATAAAATATATAAGCTCTTTCTGTTCGACCATTCGCGGAGAGACACTTTCGCGGTAGATCGCATCAACGAGAGTAGTAAATTCTCGTTACGATTAGGTAATCGATGCCACGGATTGGTCGATCCCCTATTTCGATTAGGATAATAGAGGTGGTTGACTGATTATAACACCGAAGTAGCAGGTTATAATATATACTTTATTCCAACAACTTTGTAGATATAAATAGCTACGCGTCATGGGTATAGACGTGTTCTCAGAGACGTGTAAATAGTAAGTTACAACTGATGACTGATCAATGAACGAAAAACCAGTCAAGACATTGACCGGTCAACGGATGAAAAACCAATCAAGAAATGTTGACTGATCTAAGGCTGATAAGCCAGTGAAGTTCGATGACGATGCTGTCACAGGAGAAAACTATTGCTGGGGTTGGTCGCTCCACCACCGGTCGTTTGCGGGTGGAAATTGCTGTTGAACATGAGAAAAACCCGACCTTCCTTTTCACCTGATTTTTTTTTTTTTTTTTTTTCCTGATTGAACAGTAACCATAAAGAATTTCTCGACTTGAAGATCTTTTATAACAATTGAGGATTGGGTTCCTTAGGTTCCTTAGGATTATTGAGGTCCGACTAATTACATTTGTACAGCTTATGGTCGTCTTGATCGAGGGATGGTTTCTGGTTTATGTAAAGAGTCACCGGACGTAACACTTTCTTCTTCTGCCTTTTGTTTCTCTGAACTTTCTATTTATAAATTCTGTCGTGTACCTAGAACCTATAGAGACAATTCGACACAGTTCTCCCATGAAACGTCATTTACTGTACTCAGGCAAGTCTACATTCTCACGGAAGAGTCGTCGTCTCGAATGTTAATGAGCAGTCGAATATGTCAAACAAGAGAATTACGTAGAACATAGAATCGGTCATCTTCTGTTAGAGAAACCACCATTTTTTATTTACACCTTATTCTGCCAACTAGCAAATCTTCCAAGTGACTTTCCTCTGTGCAAATCATCCCGACCGGTCAATTAGGATTACTCAGAATTGACGGGCCAACCGAACGGTACTTCTTTTCGACGAAAGAAGAACCGACCTTCCTGGGAAACTTCACGGCTGGATCTTAATCGGATATTCCGTTAATTGCTACTCTTGCTGTCTTTCTCTCTCACTAGCTTCTCACTTAGAGCTGCTCATTCAGGTGGAAATTTACCTTGAGATTTAGTTGGAGAAAGGGAGGAAAAGTTTGAAAAAGATTTGTTGCCCCATAAATGTTTATTCGATAATAAATAAATCGCTAAATGTTTGTTGAATAATAAATAAATGTTTATTCAGATTCCATTTCCTTCTCATTTCTTTAATCGTTTGTTCAATTTTCATAAAAATATAAATTTGGAAAGACGCATCTATGTATATTGTTATGTATTAGGTCGACCAAAAAGTTTCTTTCGTTTTATAAGAAAATAATGGATACACAATATTTTTCGTTTTATATTATTTTATCGAATCACGTATCACGTAATCACGTAAAGATCACAACGTTCGATAGATTAAGTTTCATGTTTGTATAAAGATGTATCGTTGTAAAAGACGTGTCTGTAAAAGAAAGACACTTTTCGGACAACCTAATATGACGTAGCTTGTACAACAACATACATAATCCATCTTAAATTCCCTTCGAACAGATCCAAGCGAATCGTCATTGTAATAGAATCGAAGAAATAAATCGAACTCCATAGAGTTTTTCCAGAGGTTTGAGAAAAGGATGATCCTCGGTGTCGCGTTTATGACTTAAGTAGCGAGGAATTTATTACCTCGGTCGGATGGCAATTGTCAGTGATCGTGGCTCAAAAGAAGAGACGAGAAAAAGCAACGGCAGAGTCCGAGCCCGTTTCCGTGGCCGCGATGAAAATTGGAACGGGCTCGTTTCTTGATCAATTTCTCGTGTGACGAGTCTCCTCTTGGTTATCTTCCTTATCTCCGAACCGGTTCGATCCACGGATCATCCTCTTATCGTGGTTACTTTTGTACGCGGCTCTGGCCTCTCTGATGACTCACTGTATATGCAGAACCGCGATTAATAACGAGCCACTACTCGCGTGGGTCAGCGGCCACGTGAAAAACGAACGATAGAAGCTTCGAAGCAAGGGATTTTACTCGAGATACTTATGCGCATTATTAGCCGAACAGAATTTACGTATGTTCTACAGATTGTATTCCGTTTCTTTATCACAAAAAATAGGTTACATTTCCGTTTACTCGAAGTTTTCTTTTTAATTTCTCTATGCGTTTTTCTGCTTGTTTAGTACTTGGGTATAACGCTAAACTTGGAATGAAATTTTGTAGCATTCTATTTTTATAAAAACTGTAGTTATCGACAAATATTCTGCAATATACATAAACGAAGAATGTAATTATGCACGGTAGTAAAATTTTTGTCAATTTTATTGATTTTGAGTCGAACCCCGCAGGTGTTACACATCATCCGATGAGAGACTACTTTAATCTCTGGTCAAGCAAAGTGCAGGACGAATCGATTTAATTGCGAAACCAGCATACTCTTTGTGGATTAATTATACTTTGCCCGGTGCGTTTCGAGTTTAATCGAGTGGAGAAGTTTAATAGATTCGGTGGGGTGGAACGGTGGAAATACGAGTTTAAACGATTAGTTACTTGTGGTGAATTGAACTTTTCTATCGAATGCCAATGTTAACATAAAGAACTAATACAAAGTTGCAGAAATGAATCAATGAAATAAATATAACACCACCATATTGGTTACATTAATAAAATGATCTTCAATGCAACAACTCCTTTTTAAGCTTCCAATTTATCCATTCTAATATATTTCTCGTACCTTGATAAAACGATAACTCATACTCTGTACCTTGTTAATGATATTACTGCATTTTTTAGCGCCTTGACGCTTGTATAAGTGTAAAGTACAAGTATAAACATGTATAAGTTAATTCACTTACTTCAAAGTAAGCTATAAATAACCCCAGCAGTAAAAATTTAATACATTAATTAAACTTCTGTAATGCATAACAGTCGTGTAAGTAATTGTATATTTTGGATATCTGCGTGACATATACACGGAATTGCGTGATAGTTGCGCAACTACCGTCATTTACATAATTGTCTCTGCGACGAAATGAGACACGCGTTTCTTGAGGAAAATATTCTTACGATAAAATTATTTGACTTTCTCGATCAAGAAACTCCTCACAAGAATTTTATTTGCACTTTTCGATATCGGATTCTTACAGAATTATCTCCGACTTTAAATTCACCGAGTCGAGGCATTACGCAAAGACTTTCGAGAGCAGTTTTCAAACGACACCTACGTGCAAAATCCACTGTGATCTGGTGAAATCGTGGAATTGATACCTCGTTCTAGATGAGGTCGACATCCATACCAAATAACATTGCAACATGCACACGCGTACGCTCACAAAAACACACACACATTGTTTCTTATCTATGGTAAATAATTAAATAATCAAATAAAATTTCTGTCAAAAATTATCATTCGGTTGGTTCATAAAATACTCGTAAATTATGCCTCAATCATAAGTTCTGATATTATGGTAACCACACAGATATTATAAATGGTGCATAACCTGCAGTATTACCTATAGAAAAAAAAAGAATTCCTCATATCTATACCAAACATCGCAACATTTATACCATTTTTAATGATACCAACATAAACACTGTTTAAGTGGTTCAAAATCTCACAAGAAATTCAAAGAGATCTGCGTGTAACTTAGTCTTAGCAAGGCGATATTATCCGCAATAAGAAGATTTCCACGAAGATATCGTTCCAGTCTGAAAAACCTGAGTCTCGTTCAACGTGACACTCGGCTCGTAATTCAACAAACCGCGGTTACCCACTAACCTTAACCGACTGCGCGAAACAACGATGATAATGGCAGACCGATAATAGGTCAGCGTCGGAGAAAGTTTTCGGCGAGTCGTTCCGTTATATACCAGGAAGACGAAGCGGGCCGAAAAGCGGCTCCTCTGCAATCGGTGACGCCCATAACGATCTGGGTCAATTAACGACATGTATCTAGTTGAATTTCGGTGCTCGATCACTCGCCAACGAACGTTTGAATTTTACTCTGTAATATCATGTGACTTGGAATAGTAGATATTACGAAGTATAGAATGTTCTCTTTTGATCTTTTGTATTTAATTAAACTGATTGAAGGTACCATTGATTTTTAATAGTAATCGATAAGCGATGGTTTATGAAGTGGAAGAAGGTAGATATAATATCTATGAAATTCTATAATTTTTTAACGTAATAATTGATCCATTATTCTCATTTAGGGATTTTATTCGTTAATGTGAATAAAAAATTATATCTATACATAAATAACAATGTAAATAAATATATCAAAAATAGTTAAATAAGTCAATATACAATCCATAGTAAGATAACTATATTACTTGCCAAAATATAAAACAATTCGCATCTTTAATATAACTTGAAATTCATTATCAATCGGTTGGTGTAAATATTTTATTCGTACGAAATTTCTATTCCCACAATCAACTCTTATTTTTCATCTCCTCTATACATACAATTAATGTACTCAAATCACGCTTAATATCAACTTAACGAAACTCTCTTAACTTAACGGCCATAACGAATATCTAGAATCAATTTTCGATTATTTAATTACACAGAAGAATAATGCTAAATATTATTTATATAATATATATAATATTATATATAATAACTACTACTAAGTGATCTTCCAACATTCCACCACACATCTATTTGTTTCTCCATTCTCTATTACCGTCACTCCGTCTGTTAGCCATAGTAATTAAGGTTGTTCCATCAATCTACAGAACGATAATATGCTACGAATTACTTAACACGATTACCTCACGACGACGAATTACTCTTAGAGTATCCCGTTATATTCAGTTAGATAGTCGATCGGTCGCGACGTTCCACATAATGATACGTGGAAACGGTCACCAGGGCGATCTTCGTCCCTTAATTACGATTAATTGGCGGTTGGTAATTGCACGCTTCCACGGTCGCTAAGGAGATATTCCGCGAAATACGACGCCGGTTTCGCGACCCTTTCGCGCTCCAAAGACTTCTCCATGCCGCTAATTGCGGACACCTGTTCTAATTGCTGCAAACAATCGAACGCTACTCTGGGAGAAGTGTTTCAGTAACAATCGGAATTCTACCGCGACGCGATGCTCCTTTCGTTGTTTGCACGCTTGTGGTTATATATTGGCACAGCCAGCCGATCCTATTATAGAATAATACATATTGTGTCCTGATGGATTGCGTGGGATGAGATAATATGAATCAAATGACGATTCTGTGGATCTTAGAGAATGAAAGACAGATGATGCTTTGGAATTATATTTAGTATCGGATAGAATTCTTTAGAGGTGGACTGGATCAAGTGAAACGTTGTACGAACAGCTGAGAATATGTTACAAATACATAGGGAACTGATATATAAAATTAGATATTAAATTACAACGAAATAGATTTTATAACATAGAGAATAAAATTAATTGAGTATCGTAAACCAAGAAATCAATCGTTATTGATCTTAATGAAAGGCCAAGTATCCCATAATACAGAAAATTCTAGAGGAACTATTTTCAGCGAGAAACGAGGAAAGCTCACGAATCGGAAATGAACTGAAGAACGCCAGAAAATAACATAGATAAAATCGCAACTTTTTCGATTCCTCGAGAAGCTATGATCATCCTACCTGTCTGATTATAGCTGGAACATTCTACTGAATTTTCGAATAAAAACCTTCAGATTGAAAGTTTCCTTTAAACGATCCTCATAGCTTCTATCCATCGCTAAACATCATACAAATCATTTTTACTATGTAAGATAGTAAAAAAGAGGGATAAAAAAAAGAAGAAGAAGAAAGAGGAAGCGCGATCCGTGCAATCAAAAGTTATCTACGGTCCCGACTGAGAAACCTTGAAATCACTTATGACTGTGATCGCGCCGATTTCCCTGTAATCTCAGGTTTATCGGAGGCCTACACGGAACGAGAATTTTCCTTCGTTCTCGTTGTACGCATTCTATCTCGGTTGTATACGATGGGAAAGGCTCGGTTCGGATTACGCGATCCTGACGCGATAATGATGATTACCGCGCGCGTCACGCTCGTCCAGGGACCATGGGGCCATTTTTCTCGCCTCGCCGTGAAATCGTACACCAGCGCGAGCGATTACGATATAAATCGATCGCCTTCGTGCCGTGGATTAATAGCGGATAACGGAATCGCGGAATAGTTGCGTGCACGTTACCATTGCCCGGAATGGAACTTAACGAGACGATTGAACAGTCACCGACTGCTTGCGAAAATTGAGAACGGAATCCCTCTTGATGGTCCTAATGGCTGTAGATTGTGCACGGATCACTGAAAGAATGTGTTCGTACGAAATCGATGAGTTTTATAGAAGATCTTTAGTGTATTTTTCGTATATGTTTGAAAGTGTTCAATTTACGAGAAATTAAAAATTGATATTGCTCACTTGCAGCTATACTATAGCATTTTATAGATTTTCATCTGATAGCTTTATTTACCTCTGCTGACTCGTTAAATAGAGCGTAGTTTGATACTAGAAAAATGATCCGCCACGTGAAGATTTATGGGAAAATTCTTCTACGCTGCGGATGATTCTAACTTACATGTAAAATAATAGTACCACCTACGTAATTCTAGATCGTTATTTCGTAAGCTATGTAATAAAATACGTAGCTAAGCCATGTACTAAAATAAAGTAGTAATCACAAGGATAATTCCCTAAATCCCTACAGCTCGTATCTGAAGATCTTAACCACAACGTTAACTCAAACTCACCATTAACATTATCCACCCTATATATTACACCAATAATACTGCTAATCCCTATCTACATAACTCTATAATAAAACAACCAACAGCTACCGTCCTTCTCCCTCCCCCCCAAAAAAAACTCTCTGGAATTCCAAAACACAAAATAAACACAGTGAAACGAAAGGAAGGAAGGCTTGACAATGGAAAAAATAAACTTACGTTGACGAACCTGTTACACTATAATGTAACGTTGTATCGGCTGACGGGGCTAACACGTGGCTTTCGATGTTTTTCTCCCGGCGTCGCGACGCAGGAGAGCGACGGTGGTTGCGATGGTAGCGACGCCGAGATGATCGGTAATGGGAGACGCGGAGGCGGAACGGAAAGGGATCGCGATATGGAGGAGGATGAGGACGAAGGAAGGGAGGAAAGGAGCTCAGAGGGTGGAGGTGGTGGAGGTTTCGGTGGTTGGAGGTCCCACTTGCTCGGTGGGCTGACGCAACGTGTCAAATCCTGGTACTGGGGCGCCAGGCCCCTCGTAAGTTTAAATTTAAACGAACCACCAACACACAAAAGTCTACCACGCACAGATACTTCTTTTTTTCTCTTTCGTTCCTCTCTCTGTCTATTGATTTTTCTCTTGATTTTCCTTTTTCCTTTCTTTCTTTTTTATTTCACTTTTAAAGCCTCTCTTGTTTTACTGTACTTTAAAATTTCAATTTTTTCTTCTTTCTTTGTTCTCCCATGTCATTCGCGAAGCGTTTCGAGTCGCGTCAAACGTTTCGAGTCGCGACGTACGACCGTGGAATTCTCGACGAGTTTTCTTGAAACTTGAACGGCCTGACTGTCTTAATCTGATCTCGAGTATCTTAAAAGCTCCCTAGTGTTAAAATCGTCTGGAGTAATGCAAATTTGCAAATTTCCATCCGCGAGTCTTGTACATCGCTAGGCTGAAATTTCCAGGCTTTTAAGGCTCTTCGATTTTTTACGCGAGTCGGGATGAACGAACTCTTCAAGGTACTTTTCGAGATCTTCGCATCGGTTGCGACTCGAGGCTTCGTATCCTCGAACTGCTTGTAAATCGAAGAGGTAAATAATCGATCGCCAATCACAATTTTCTGATATCTATATAGAAGCAGGAAGGATGCGATGGATACTTTTTTTCTATTTATTTTTTGAATTTTATTTTATCTTATTATCTAATCGATTCATCCAAGAAGGTCTAATTAATCAAGGAATTCCTATCGTTCTTTTGTTTCTCTTGAACTAAAGACAATTGTGATTACTTATAAATAGACCGAAAAATAATTTTATATCGCGTGTAAAATTTAGCCAAATTTTGGGATCGGGACTGTTCCAGAAAATGAACAAAAAAATGTATTCATCAGTAGTATCGTTTCATCGAATCCAACATTAGATCAATAGACGAACTAGTGACAAATTCTAACGTAATATTCATGAGATATTTAGTAAAGTATCTAATAGATACGATTGTAAAACGTAGTGACAATAGTTAGACAATATATTACGAACTAGTCGGTAAACCTGTTTAACAAAAATTTAATTTTTTAACAGATAGTAGGATAATGTCCGATAGCATTATGGTCTCAGAACTTTCCTACTTTCTTGAGTACAAGTTCACCATGGTGAAACAAAACTTTTGCACTATTTTACACGAAGCTTGTGTTATAAACTGAAGAAAATATGCAAACTTTAAACGCGCGGTTATTCCGTTACGCATATATTAAAGAGAATGAAAATTTCTGGTTTTTACAAAATCGGTAATTTTTATAATTTCAAAGTATAGAATTCTTTAATTTTTAATCGAAGAAATGAAGAAGAAAATATTTATTTTTAAACGGTTTACATGATGGTTAAATAAAATAAAATCATGATCGATAATCATTCAAAATTAAAAGTTATTTTAATTTAATTGTCTAATATCAAGCCATCGGAAACGATCATCCCTTTTGGCATGAAATTCTCCCAATTAGATCTCTGTCTTTCTTTTACTATATGTTACATTACATATATATTTCTCTATCTGTCTGTCTCTTACTTCTTTCTCTATCCCTGTTTCTTTTTACCAAGATCAATTTTTCTTTTTCTGCTCTTAGAGTTAGCGAATTTAGTCGAAATAGCGTTAGGTGTGTACGTGTTTTTTCTTAGATGTCTTGCACATGCTACTTTCGATTTATCCTTAACTATATATTCAACGCACGACTACTATAATATCTATGCAATGTATATATAATTATAAGAACGTTCGAACACGAGCATAAATATATAATTATATATACACCGTCTGAACATATGTCAAAGTGTATTTTTACATTATATTTAGATGTCTTGGCATGCACGATCACTTTACTCACATCGAAATACAGTGTAGCTGTATAGGTTGTATAGTCAGGTACAGTAGCGTATGCAAATGTTTTTGGTTGGATAAATTTTTCATTTTATATTCCAGAAGCGGTGTCTAAAAGAATTTTAACTGATACTGACTATGAAAGAATAGCAAGCAAAAGAAAGCAATAAAACGAATACATACTATTACATTGTCGTATAGTATTAGTAGACTGCACATATTTATGCAAATACACATTTTTATATATATATATAAACACAGATAAAGAAATCAAATCTAAGAAAAAATTTCATACACTTACTAATTATTATAACAATCTATCCTACTTTAGGTATTTTTATATTCTTGCATCTTACCTGTATTTTATGCATTTTTGAGCCTTTAAATATTCCATAAATGCATAAAAATGAGCGGTCTAAATTATTTAAATTCTTTACTAAATTAGTTAAAATTCCTTTAGATATCGTTTTTGGAACATAAAATGAAGAACCTTTCTGACTAGGAACTTTTCCACATCATTGTATATTCGCGACTTTAAAATCGGTAAACGGAGTGTAAAATCGAAACGTAGATGCTAGTATAGTTCGTTTCATGTTATTCAATTATTATACTATAGAGACCGCCGTTAGAGATTAGAAACGTGCAATCGGATCCTGAACGTACGTAGACAATCGATAGAACGATGCTGTAGAGTTCGTAAGATAGGATCTTTGTAGGAAGAAAGTCTCGATCAGTAATGGGACGCCATCGATGACGATAAATCAGTAGAGAAAGCGTAGACAAAAGTTTTCACCGAACAAGGAGACTCGAAGGGAACCGGAAAATCCGCGAGGAAATGGCTCCCTGACGAGTTTCAGTTCGACGACCATCGTTCACGCGTCATTTGGATTATTGTCGTTGTATCAGATTGATTTTCAACCTCTACAGCGTCATGTAATTTACAAGTTACGTACATTTTATGTAATGGTTTAAATCTTTCATTTCGTATATTGTTTTTTAATGAGAATTTTAATTGAAAACTACAGAAGAGAAATATAATGAAGCTTTAATCGTCTTGTAACAGAGAAATTTTCCAATTTATTTTAATCATTCGCTACAATTTTCAAAATTTCAATTGTTATAACATTGTTATTATAAAGTTCCACGTATCTATCATTTATTTTTAGCAAACTTAAAAGATTGTCCTTTTTTCAATATATTGATGATTTATAAACGACGACAACATTTCGGGTTGGATTTCAGTTATGTGACCTAATTTTGGACTGCTTAATTTTCAGTTGATTTCAAAGAAAATCTTTAGATCTAACTTTTTCTCCTAAACTGTTATTTTTTTTTCCATTCTTGCTTCGCCGTAAAATATAAAGAGTTATTGAAGAATCGTTTCCATTTTCGTTATTTTTTTAATTATTTCGCAATTACGAGTTGACACATAGGTACGCGTAGGAAGAGAAATTCACGGGGCGAATAAACGCGCGTGCGTTCGCGTGTTCTCGTCACACAAACCGCGTTCGCTTGCGAAACACTTTCACCGCTCGCGATTCGCGTTTCTCTATGCAAGGAGGAGGCCGGCCGCGAAACTTGGTTCGCGAATTCGCTCGATTTCCATGCCCGTCGACCGTGACCTACGGATCCGGCTACATCTGTGTCGGTGGAAATTTGACGCACGCGATAGAAGTCGAGCGAATTTCGACACGATCCGGAATCTACGTTGTGGAATTTCATTTTTCGCAAAACGAAACCGAGAATTCTGTATAAATCAAAACGTTTGACACTAGAACTAAACAACAACTAAAATATTATACAGAATTTTTATCAAAAGAATCAAAATGACAGCGACATGTAGAAATATATAATTTGAGGAGAGAAATATTTTCCAATAAAAATATAAAAATCTTGAGTCATATAAAAATGATAAAATTTGACGATTCTAGAAAGTGTAGAAAGTAGAGAAAATTTCGAAGGCCAGTCAAATGTTAAAAATCTATAAAATCTGACAAAAATCCATAAGTCTGTAAGTCTATAAGATTCTCATGGAAAATTACGAATCAGTAATTTTGTCGTCTCTGGTAGTTCTAATGTTAACGAACGCGTCAGAATTCGCTCGGGGGACTCGCGAGTTGACTCAACAACTGAAGTTAAACACTAGTTAGGAATTCCTCAAGCGACGTAACAAAAAAAATACCGAGTTTGCTTTGGAAATTGAACGAAGAGCAAGGAGTTTCGTGAGAATTTCGAAATTCGTGAAACTCGACCAGTTTGACGAGGAAAGATACGTGACTAGTCTAGGAAAGATACTCGTTTAAAAGGTTTGATCAAGGATTCACGTGCCACGATCATTTTTATCATCGTCTCATGATCTCTCGTCTTTTTCTGCACGTTACAAATTGAAATTGAAGAGCCAATTTCGTTAAATGCCGTGCGTTAAGACAGTTGATCGTGCAATCGCAATTTCGATGAAAATAAAAGAAATGAAATATAATTCGATCGTAAAATAATTGCACGACAAAACACCACCACTACCACCACCACCACTCTGTCCGAGCACCACCAACACCCAATTGCTACCAGCCTATCAGCAAGCATGAAACTTAATTTTTTAATATACTCTTATGATACCTATATCGATATGTATATATATATATATATATTTATTTATATGTACGTAAATATAAATATATTACACGATATATTTATATTTATTGCTGCATATATATTTATATATGTATATTTTTTTATTCATATTCACGTTTTTTCTACACGATGTTGCGTACGATGACTGTGATTGCATATAGGTAACAAGAAGAGATGTGCATCGTTGTGGAGAAGCGAAGCCCGGTAGACAATGCAAGTTGGCTGTGGAGTAACTACAAAGGCGAACTTGGTGAAACCCATTGATCGACGATGTTTGGTTATTTTTTAAAAGATAATACCGCTCCTTAAAGCACTACGACGAAGATACTATTTGAAATGAAATTTCTCGAAATTAGAAATTAGAAATATTGATATGCAAGATATCTCTTGTATCTTAAACTTCTTGATCTTTTCACAGTGTAACTTGAGAGAAACTTGTACAAGCAGTCAAACGTGATATACTATGCATTTTATATTTTAAATGTCATCATGATTAACGTAATTATTGATATTTATTTTTTCGTAAAAGCTAAACGTCTGATACCAGAGATGCAAAAAATCTTGTCCATGAAGAAATAGTTATTTTCCAGACAATAATTTATATTAATTTTATTCATATTCGTCTTAGCAGTTTGCACAGGTTTCACAAAATGTTATGAAACGCGAAGTGTTAGAAATTCTTTCGTATCGTACCTTTCACGTACCTTTTCGCGTAACCAACTTTACAGACTACCAGGATTCCCTTCGACTACAGCGTGCACACGAACTTGTCAGCATCAGCCTCCTTAGCTCTTGTGTGCTGTCATCATGCGTTTTCGAGGTGGCTTTTACGGACTGCGTGACAGTGACCGAAACTCTTTTCGCGTTAAATCTTGTATTTTCAACTTGAAAAATGTTTACTCTGTTTTCAATCGATGAATATTTCAAACTTCCTTTCAAGAGAAAGCGAGACAACTAAAACTAGAAGCATATAATTTCGGTTCTATTGTAAAAGAATGAGAACTTTCAACGTAGAAAGTTCAAATCAGAATTTTCAAATGATGGAAAATTGAAACTGGTACTTTCGAAACAAAATATTCAAATAGCATCGAAAGAAGCCAAGAAACTAAAAAGAAGCGACAACATCTTGAAAATACATCCAAAAAGGAATATAAATCAATTTTTCTACTAAGTGAACAAACGGTGGCTGTCACAAGGTCAACCGGAAGCCGAGTGGCTCAACTTCCACCGATGAAACGTAGCTGTGCCCGTTTCAGGAACTCGCGCACAAGCTCTCACGGAGCTTCGACATGCAAGAAGCTCAGCTCCTCGAAGAGGGTGGTTCTGGTGCAGCTACTGCCGGGGCTGGAGGTGCCGGTGGTCCACCACGAAGGCATCACAGTGCCCAAAGGTTGACTAGAAGCGAAATGTCGGAGAGAAGAGAAGAAGATGGCGCCCTTGTGGTTCCTGATCATCAGGGTAACCTGAGGATCACTGTTAAGAAAACCAAGTCGATTTTAGGTATTGCCATCGAGGGCGGTGCCAATACCAAACATCCGCTGCCCAGAATCATCAATATACATGTAAGGAAATTTGTATTCACAATAATTGTATTAACATTATTTAGAAAATAATATTTAATTGATTGGAATACGAAGATACTAGAAAATATCAGAATTTAGGAAATTTTCAAGTATTGCGTATATTTGTACATCTTAAAAAAATTTGAAAGTAAAATTTAGTATTCTGTGATTAATGAAATATCGATGACTGATTTTATTTCAAGAATAACGTTTGATCGATGAAAATATATCGAAAACACATCCTAAAATGATCAGTTTAATTACAATCGTCTATACATATAGCTATAGAACACTTAAATATACATTACAGACTTGTAGTTCTGTTGTTAAGTAAAAAAATTACCGATACTCGGAACACTGATTAGTTTACACATTCACAGGATAATGGAGCAGCGTACGAGGCCGGTGGTCTCGAGGTCGGTCAGCTAATCCTAGAAGTTGACGGTCACAAGGTCGAAGGTAATTTCATCTTCGAAATCTTTCTTTTCTCGTTAATCCAGCTACAAGCACGAAATGACAGAAGTCTAACATTCGTCTGTGTTTTGTTTGAACAGGTCTCCATCATCAGGAGGTAGCAAGGCTGATCGCAGAGTCGTTCGCGAGACGAGACCGCAACGAGATCGAGTTCCTGGTAGTCGAGGCAAAGAAGAGCAATCTGGAGCCGAAACCGACGGCTCTGATATTCCTGGAGGCGTAGCAGGAATCTCCCACCTCCGAGCCGGAACCACCGTAGCCCAACGTGACCAGAGCTCGGCCCGCGACATACTTGGAGCGTCGTAGACGCTGAACCGTCTGTTGAAGCTGAAGAGACCGATGGAAATCGATCATGAAGCTCGTCGATCGACAAACGTAACGAAGACAAATCGACGAAGAGAGAAAAGAAGACGAGCTTGCCTCTTCATCTTCATCGAACGCTCTCGATTCGACGGTCGAGCTCTCAGTCAGGTGCTAACTGAACCTGGCCCTGGTGGTGGGAATTTTTCAAGAAGAAAATACAAAGAGTAAAAGAAAGGAAAGATAAAGAAGCGCCACAGATAGAGGAGGGGTTAGGCGGCGAGTGAAACTCGATTAGCGAGTCAATGGGATGATAATTACACGATCGTCGACACTATCGTGGCTGCCCTCGTTGCTGACGAGCCAGGCTATCGGAAGCTTCTAATCCTTCGGCTTTCCAACTTTTTCGATTCAAGAAGCCGTTTGATAAGAACAAATATTGTCAAAGTTTGCGACGAGGAGTAAACGTACGGACGATCCGGTGATAAAACACAGGAGTACAAAAGAGATATGGTTTGAAGAGACTATTTAAGAGAGACACTTTGAGTGTGAGGATGATGTTAAATGAGAGAAGGAAGGTTGACTGTGCCAAACTATTAGGGATTGTTTCGTGTATACTAATTATGATACTCTTAATCGTAACGAGATTCAATCAGAGACTCTGCCAACACAAGAGATTCACGAATATGTGAGTAGCAAAATCGAGCGATCCTGAGTGACGAACTTGTGCTTAACGGACACGATCACGAAAGCTGTTCACGTGCATGGATCGAACGTATCAAGAGTACGAGGCAGTGAGATTATGCGAGACATGTGATGATTCAGTAAAATGCGTTTTCCAGGATCCTGGCCGATGTCATCGATCAGGATTTTCGTTGATGCAGTTCCTCAAGGGCTTATTTAGTGGTACCGTGATGACAATCCGTTTAACTGTCTTTTAAACGTCTGAGAAAGATACTTTTTCCAGCTACCACGCAATTGTTTCAAGTTTCAAATGTCTAATTTCAAAGTTGAAATTTTTTATTTCATATTTTGAATAATTATGAAAATGATTGTCATATATTTCCAAATCTATCGAATCACAGCCTGTTAAAAACCTTCGACTACGGATCCACAAAACTCTATTTTTGCATAAAATCTAGATAATCGTATAAGCAAGTAATTCGTACTTAAGAGAACCCAACAGGCGGCGAGGAAAAGGTGACGAGGAACAAAATCGACGAAAGTCCTAACCGAGTGGAGCCTGAGATTAACATAGACTTATTATGGGAATTGTTGAGGCTTAACAAGATATGTTATATATACATATATATTATATGATAATATTATTATTGACTATCGTAGTGGAATTGCAAACTTGTACCTACCCGATCACACCTCAAGCGCGCACGGACTTCCGGTTGCTGGTGCGCGCTGAGGCGGCACCGAGGAGCGCGCAGAAGGGAAAACTGAGAAGATTCTATAAGAATATGCGAAATATTTTCAACAAGTTTAAATAAATATAGATACCGCGTACTTAGCAATGGGCCTGATCGTTCGAATTTTTCGAGAGATCGCGGACGATCGTGCATAGAAAAAAAAAAACAAATTTCTTAAAAAATCTGAAAATTTTCGTGATCGAAGACGAATGAAGAAGAGGAGAAAGGAAGACAAATTCTGCACTTTCTGGAAAATTTGGAGAAAGCGTGAAACGAAACGAACAACACGCTATCACGAGATCATAAACGTTTGTTTGCATAGTGGATCACGTGGAAATTATTTTAGAATCACGTTCGCGTGAGCGACGATTCCTTCAATTCGTACGCGCGCCACGCTTGGAAAACTCGAGGCTGTATTTTTCATACAGAGATTTCATGCTTTTTCACCTCACCTTGTTCACGTGGATCACGTGGTTTAGGCATTTTTTACGATGAATCATAGACACGATGACGAGAAGAATTTTCTAAATGATACATTTGTATCGCCTTATTGTAATTGATGTCTCGAACTTTTCGATCGTTGTGCACGATCACGTTGATTTTCGTCGCTGTGTAATTTGGAAAAAGAGAGAAGCAACTTGTTGTATGTACGCGAGTTAGAACAGCGGTTCCTATTAATTTCGTTGAAAGATCTTTGAATCTTTCTTGGGAAAAATCTTTTTTAGGTAAATAACACGTTCGTACAATTTAGAGAGTTTTGTTTAATTCATTTTATTAAGTAAGGAGAAAGTAGAATTCGTACGTGTTTCAGTTCTTCCGGATCGTTTTACAAAGCACAAGGAATTAAATTTCAAATTAAGTAGAAAGTTCGATTTTCTTTCGTGAGTTGAAAGAATATTTGCTTTGTGGAACTGCTTCGTTAGTGTCGACAAACCGTTTTTCGCTAACTATTTATAACGTAATTGTTACCGCAATAATTACATTTAAACGAGTAGTAGTTACTAATTATCAATTCGTGAGTATAAACGTAGCGACTGTTGTTGTAAAAGTAAATGGTTATCGATACGTCTTGTTTAATATCTCTACCTGTTACCAAGTTAAACGTAATTTTACGAGTAGTAGTGTGTATACGTTGAATGTCGACGAGTCCACAAGTCGTTCTATCGAATGCCGATGATCGTCCGCGATCTTGCTCGCTTTAACAAAAATGATAAAAAAAGATAAAAAGATGCAAAAAAAAAAATAAAACGTGAAAAAAATACCGCGCAAGCTTAAGTAGTAAATTATCGCGTATATGTAACGAAACAGCCGAATCGGGACGCAGGCCAATGAGAGAAAGCGAGAAACGATTCGACGAAAGCCACTGACGGTTCAAAGATTCGCGTTTAATCAAATTCCAATGGAGTTTTTCGATAATGTCGTGTCACGAATATAAACGTATTGTCGGAGTTTATGTCATAGAATTACTGTTTTATAATAACATCTAGTCAAATAAGGTAATATATCGTTTAAATGATAATTCTTGAAATATTTCATTCAAATAATACGTAAGCCCTTTCATCTAATTTAATTCTTTGCATTACTCAATCTAGAAGGCTACTTTTCGATAAAAATTCTCAATAAAGTATTTAGATAATATTACTTTTATCTGAAACGATCAAGCTATACTATTACGGTATAAACACTTTTGCATTTGCATTAATTTTTAAACATTAAAAAGGGAGAGAACGAATGGAATTTTTTGATCGTCAGTGCGCTAACCAAGAAAGCAGGTTTCAAAACAGTAATGTACCTGGACGCGTGTACGACGTATTCCGGTAAATGTGCCAAAGAGAAGAAAAAGCTATACGGAGAGGAAGAAAGAAAAGGAAGAGAAAAGGAGGAGCGCGGAAAGCGGGAAAGTTGTGCATACAATTACAAGTGCAAAATGCAAAACAAGACGGAAACTATTACGAGTGGACGATCGAGAGAAGAAAAGAAACCGCAAAGAAAAAACAAAGAGGATGGTTTTTCGTAGCTGGTGTGCACTCGAGTTGTTTTCTTCGTTGTTGCTTTGTAACGCAAGGATGCAATTGCACCGCTTGTCGCGAACAAGCCACGGGATTAAGAAACACAGAGAAATAGAAACGAAAAAGAGAATAAAATGGGAAATAAAAGGACAAAGATGGAAACGATAGATAAAACGCGGCTAGTTGCTATTCGGCTAAGCAAACAGACAAAACTAAAAAATACCTCGTGTGTTAGTGTTTCTTCCTGTTTTCGAAGCGAATTTTTCTAACGAAGCATCCAAAATAAATTCGACGTCCCGAATAAAGAACAAGGAATAAAAGAGGAAGAACGAACGATGAAAAAACAAAGCATGGGAGGAAAAATCACTATGGAAAGTGGGACAAGAAATGAAAAGAAACGAAAGAAAGAAGGAGATGATATTTTTGTAAAAGCCTTCGATGTATAACGCAATCACCGGAGCGATTCGAAGATCTCAGCTGACATATCCGACAATGCCTTACCGCTTTGATGAAAGAAACAAGAAAAAAAACGAATGGGTTCGTGAAAGCGACGCGAACCGATCACGATCGAGGAAAATGTTCGTTGGAACTTCCCATTGATCAGCGTCAGTGGATACAGTACGGTGCGAAGCAATTGGCACACACAGCATTGGCTTTTCGATCTTTCGATTTTGCTTAACGATCGGACACAGAACGGAGCGACGCTGATAATCTTTCTGGTTGAAGAGTTATGTAAAGCAGAAAAGTGGGAAAAACTGGTTCTATCGGGCTCGGTTCGAAACGGAGAGCGTTGTTTATAAATGTACGCTGGAATCGGTATTCCTATTTTTTAAACTCGTGCAAGTAATCTTAAAAAATGAAAGAAACGTTTACTCGATATTTGGAATATACGAAGGAAAAGATTTGTCAGAGTTTAAACGTATTTTTTGCTTCACGCGAGAATAAAATAAATGGTATTCGATTTGGAAATGAATTATCCAGGTTTCTTAATTAAATGTTCGGTGAGGAACCTGTAAATCTAGACGTAAGAAAATTTACAAGAGTCTTTTCTCTTTTCGTTTCATTTAAATACATTCAACTGAAAAAGTTATCAGTAAGTTTCTCCATCATCCAATTGCAACAAAAATATATCAAAACTATGATACAATAGAAATGAAAGGAAATATCTATCGTTTAAAGACTGCCAAACTGTTGCAATTAACCACGTAATTACATTAACAGCTTCATTATCTTGCACGATGTATGCTTCACGGTCGCTGATCCTCCGATCCCATCGAGACAAGAAGAGAAAACAGATTCGTCGCTAGCTATTTTTCCACACACAAGTTCCCTTTATTCCACAGCAGACGAAGGTTTCGAACGTTTCAAGAAAAATACTGTCGCTCTCGGTCGATCGCTTTTCAATTTCTCGAAAAATATCAGCTACTGCAAACAGAGAGAGAAAGAGAGAAAAAAAGAGAGAGAGAGAGAGAGGCAATCTGTCGTATCAATGAGCCATCGTGATTCCCCTTCGATCAATGATAATCGCTGATATAATATATCGATTGTCGATGATACGTTTGGTTCGATTAAAAATTCATTTCGAGGGATGGAAGTTTCGTGCGTTGAAATAAATTTTAATGAACACGATTTCTATATGAAAATCAGATTAATCGCGAGACGATTGGCCACCTTTCTCCAATGAAAACTGTTTTCTCTGAGAAAATCGGAAACCGATTTTCTTTACCACGAGCTCGAGCGTTCGCGTTTAGTCTGGCGTTAAAGTCTCCGCGTTATTTACGTTTCTCTCGCCGCTTTCATCGTTTCTTTCTTTGATAAAAAAATTCAATAATTTGTTAATTCTCGTTAGTTAATATTGGTAACTAAAAACAGCATTACGATATTGATTTCTTCAAATAAAAAGTTGAAAATTATTGTATTGAAGTTAAGCGATCGGAAAGACGGTAATTATTTGTTTGAAGAAATTGCTTAAGCGAGTAACCAGAACTAGGTGCCTTAACGAAATAATTCTTTCCATTATTTCTTCTAATTTCGCAAAACAATTATATTCTACTTAAGATTTATAAAGCCACGTATACATTTAAAATTGCCTCAGGCGAAAGAAAATGAATTCCAAAAATTCAAGCGATGTCCTACGATCGACAAACACACGACGAGACGATTAGTCTAGTATCGATGTCAATTAATTAACCCTTTGTACTTCAATGGCCACGTTTCTTATATACCTTTCATCGACACAAAACGAAAATGAGCAGAAAGCTACTGTACAAATAAATTTACCTTTTATTTCGATAAACTTCACTGTAAAAATGCGCCCAAGTTGTGTGTCGATCGAATTAAAAAAATATTCGAAGTGCAAAGGGTTAAAGTTCGAAGGGGAAGCGACAAAACGATCGAGCAATCAGTCGCGATAGAAAAGAATAATTAGACGAGAACGAACAGGTTGCGTCCACTAAACCTGAGATTATCTTAAATAATAGGCGTTAGCTCTCACAGGACACAAAAAGCATGCTGCGAAGTCAGAAAAGAAAGAGCGTAATCTAGCAGAGAGCGATTTATTTTTTCAACGACAAAAGAGAAAAGAGAATCAAACCTGAGAGACAAACACGGACTCGTACCACGTTAAAACCTGTCCAGCTTTCGCACGTTCACCATCCGCAAACTTGCTTTTTCTCGATCGACCGTGGAACCGTGGGTGCGAGCGAGCATTGAAATCGATCCTCTGGTCGGTGATCGAGATCGATCGTACGTACGATGAAAGGCGAACCGAGGATTTCGAACGTTTCGAAGAGGAAGCACGTAACTTCGCTCCAGGAAATACTACTTCCATTTCTTGCGAACGATGGTGATTGAAAGGAGGAAAAATCGATTGAGAAATTGGATTAGATATAAAAATTCAGGAATTGGATTCAGCTTTAATTCCGTTAGAAAACGTGTTTGAATCGAAGTTGAAGAAATAAGAATTTTCTTACTATCGAAGATTCTTACTATCGAACGATTTCTGGTATTCAAAATTTGATCGAGACAGTGTATAGAAAATTCTTAATTGTCGAGTATTTGGGACGTTTTCTCTGTCGGATATTACAGGAAAATTCTTCGAGACAAAAATTTCGCATCCGCGATTAACGATCTTAAATACGATCGATTCTGAATGTTAAGAAATTCTTAATGTCATAAACTTTATCAAACGTTACAAAAGTCTGTCTTGCAACGAAATACTTTAAGAGAAAAAGCTAGCATCCACGATACCACGTCGCCTCAGTCTGGAGAGTCGATCGACAAACGTAATTCGCGTGAAATCTTTAGCTTAAGCTTCGTACACATCCTCGTAATCGAACGTCAAGATAAACGAGCGAGAAGATTGAAAAAGGAAGAGGGTCCACAGGGGACGATTCGCTTGACGAGTGAAGAATAAAATCGAAACATTATGCAAAAGCGAGTCGACTATAGTCGTCGGCGGATAAAAGGGCTAATCGAATTGTAAAGCAGATGTAACTGTACTCGTAACGTTTCAAGGAACACTCTGTACATAAGCAAACCGCTCGTTCATACCGCATTTCATAGATCATCCTTTTTGCAGCCGATTTCGTACACCTTTAGAGACACATACACACGTACGTTCTACACTTACAGAGACCAAACAAATTTACACGACTGTCTAACACATAACAACAACACGAAGAATCGTTCCAAAGGATGAAAACGACGAGGCTCGTCGCGTTAATTAACGACCCGTCGATTAATACGCTCATCGTCGTGGAACGGAGATAGAAGAGATCGCACGTATGAAATTGTTACACCAGTAACATGTATACAATGATACGTTGCGCGTATACAGGGTGTAAAAGAAATATGTGCCACGATCTTATCGTATTCGGCTCGTTGTGCAACCATATCGTGGAAAATAATTAGATTTCTAGGTCTGTTTTCTTTTTCCTATTTTTAGAATATAGTATGGAAAATTTGTAACTTTGACAGTAGATGCGTTTCGCTTTGGAATCGATGGAATTTCTTATTTATTATAAGCTCGTATCAAGTAATAAATTGCTACGTTTGAACAAACACTAGTTCCATGGCATTACATACAATTAGTCGATAAAAAGTTAATAAATTGATCGAAAGATTGATAAGAATCGTTTCGTTCTTTAATGAGACGATACTGGAGTTTTGTGTGTCGTTGAAAAACACGCAGCAAATTCTTGAATTTTTCAGTTAGTTGGAATTTCTAGATCTATTAGCAAAATTCTTTAAATCTGCGCTTTTTTATTTGGTTTAAATAGTACGTTGAAGGAACATCATCAAACGATTCTTTTACGCCCTGCGTATACGAATACACAACTACACGATACATTCACGGACACGCGTAGAATAAATGTAAAGGGACAAAAGGAAATTCATCGTTTCTCCGAGTGTAACGCGCGCGACCATATTGTTTGATTATTGTTAAAAATCGCAGACGCTTTAATTGTTTGTTCGAATTGTTGTTGTTCATTATTGTTACCGTTGTCATTATTATCGTCGTTGGATGTCGCGTAACGTGATTACGATCACCATTCAGCCTGTCGATTTGTCCTTTTTTGCGTGCCGTTATTATTATTATAGTCATTACGTTATGATTACAACCGTGAATATTATTATTATTATTATTATTATTATTATTATTATTATTATTAACATCATCACCGCGACGATGACGATTATTATTGTAATTGAATAAAACGTTCACCACGAGAGGTATGAATATTTATCGAATCTTTCATTTCGCTTCCTACTATTATTTATTTTACTCTTCCAATCTTTTAATTCCCCGTTTCCTCATATACTTGAATATTTTGATATAATTGTCTGTTAAAAGAGATTGCTGAATAATAAATTACGAATTAGTCGTACAACATATTCGTTGAAATCTTAATCGAATATTATAAACAGATTGCATATGCTACTGTAGTCTAATAATGTAATAAATGCTTTATACGCTAAATAAGAATAGTTTTCACCTGTGCTCTTCATTTGCAGAGGATAATAGAATAAAATGATATATATCGTTGGTTAGATAGATCTTACGTAAACCAACTTATTACAGAACGTGATATCTAATATTTGAGAATTACAAAAATTAATTAAGCTAAAAATTAAACAGATGTATTAATGTGCGCCAGCGATCGAAATTTACCACAGATTCCTTGCTTATCACGGCACAGTAAAAGTATAACCGGTAAAACAGACGAAACGGGAAAGTTAACGGCCGCAGTTAATTCAGAAATCTGTTTTCGAAGCTCGACGCGTTTGCTCGTAATTACGTAATTACACATCATTCTCGCCAATTAAGCTCGAATTATCGATTTCAAACTGATTACCAGCTAATTGCCTCCTGTTTCGAGGACCACTAGGATGACCACAGCTTATAAAACAATCGGTGATGTAATTTCGAGTTAAACGATGATAATTACGTAACTTCGAGGCCGCGTGAGTTCTTATTGATAGTTGTTAACTGCTGGTTGCAAGCCTTCTGTTGTAGTAAGTGAAATGAATTTATCTCCTTTATACAAAAAAAAAGAAAATATCACTTTATATAAGTACAACACTAAGCCAAATCCGACTAGCATTGTTATGGTTAACTTGAGTTAACTGTAACTCGAATTTTAACTAGATCTGCACAAAATTTACCCCAGAACCCAATAAGTAGCCATTTAATAAAATTAGTGAGTTGACAAAGGGTTAAGGGTTATAGGTTAAATTTCTCTTTTATAATCTCACAATTGTTCATCAAATAGGATAATGTTAATACAATTTTAGCTTGTAATATTTATTTATTTATTTCTTATAAATTTGTTTATTATTGTTTGCAATGATATAAAATGAAATTCCCAAAGGAACGGCAAATTGTGTTGCATATGAACTGTCTGTTTAGCTTTCGCTGCTATCTAAATAAAGAAGAACGATACAATCTAAAACGAGCTTCAAGTTGAACAATTGCCTTGCTTAATTCTACGAAATAGCGGCGGTGTGCTACAAATAAACGAAGCGTCTCGTTGGATTTAGAAATAATTGAATTCTCACGATAATGTTCGAGCCAAACGACAACTAGAAGGAACAGAGAACATGTCGAGATCAGATATCACACGGCTAAAAAAATACGAAGGAAACAAGTAGAAAACACGATATATAATGCATTTTTCACAGACATTTTCTTTTGGTAAAAAGAAATGTAGCGATAAAAAAGGAAAGAAAAAGGAGAATGAGAGAAATTCTGTTGAAACCAAACATTTTTCCATTTTGTTTCAATCTTTGCTTAAATTGGATCTCAAAGCTACCTCAAAATTCGATTCGATTTCGATTGAAATTCAAATAGAAAGATCTGTCGCATATATTTTTGTCTCAATTCGGATATAAATATAAAATATTTCAAAGTCGTTTCGATTTCGATTCAAAGTCAAATTAAAGATTATTCTAAAGCTATTTCAATTTCAATGAAATTTTACTGAACGATATTTCAAAGTTCCCTCGATTTAATTCAAATCTATCTATATGAAAAGAATATTTCAAATATAACGTAAACCCATTTCGATTCTTTGAAAAAGAATGCTATAATTTAGAACTTATCCGCGCCGAGCCAAGAATAAGAGTTCGCCTTTGCGAAACGGTAGGCATAAGATAAACAAGAGTTGGCGGAATGTCAAAATATCACGACGCCCACCGAGATTTTTTTTTTTTCGACATACATTGTCGTGATACGTATCAGTGGATGTACCAAGCTGGTCGATTGCGGGGTTGGCTTACGCAACACGGTACCTAGGGTAGACATAATGCATAATCTCGTTAGGAATCTCCAAGGGGGTTGCTGTCTAAGCTTTGTCGTAAAGCTCTGCTAAATCACTCGATCGCGTTGTGGCATAAGATATTCCGTGAAAATACGTTGTTTACCTAGAACTGGTATGTTACGTTAGTGGATAAAGTTAGGATCGATGACGACGTAGGGTGGCGGTTGTCGATACCGATACCATTGGATGGCTGCTCGTTGTTTATTGCAAATAACACGTAAGGGAATTATTCGAGCGGATATTACATTATCACTGAGATATATTGCTCGAAGAAAGTATATTTATTAAAACTGATGGTTACAGAGGAACGCCGTTTATCTAAAGTCATCAGGAAACAAATAGTTGACATAACTGGAACTCGTACGTATCGCAGGGATGAAATTGTTCCACCAGCAACATATATATATATAGGGTGGTTGGTAACTGGTGCTACAAGCGGAAAGGGGGTGATTCTAAGCGAATAAAAATTTTTTTTAATTTTTTTAAAAATCTACAGTGAGATCCGTTATAACGAGACGTGATAAAGTGCACGCGTACCGAGCGAAAATTCAAAGTCGATTTTCTCGAAAACAAAGCCTCGAACGAAAAATTTTTATTCCATATTTTCGACTTTTTTTTCGCGTAGAATCATCCCCTTTCCGCTTGTACCACCAGTTACCAACCATCCTGTATAATGACACGTAAGAAGCATACAAGATGGAAGGAAACAATACGCGACGATTTTATCGAATCCGATACACTCGTTGTGTAACGATGTGGAAATAATCAGATTTCTAGGTCCCCTTCCTTTCCTTTATTTTCAGATAAAATATGTATTGATATTTCTGGAAGGTTTGTAGTGGTTTCGTTAGTCGGCATTCCAATGGAAAAGAGTTTATCACGAACGTGGCTCAAAGTAAACGATTTTTTTCTCAAAGGAGATTTCCAATCCTCGTAAAATTCCATTAAATCGGTCAAGAACGTGTACTATAGACCATAAAGAATATTTTTATCTCAAAGAATATTGCACTCAAAGCGGTGGATCAATGTTGAAAGCCGCTTTCAGGTTCGAGGCATCCTTAAGACATACAAAACGTAATTTCTTTCGTTCTGCTTGGTACTATCCTTTCTGCGGGTATTTTAGTGCATTTTACCCGACAGTACAAA